CAGGAAGTATTGTTAGATAGAAAGTTATTATTAATTAGAAGTAAGTATTATCAAAAGAAATTGTTTAAGACAAAAATAATTGAACGAAAATGCACCACACAAAAGTTACATGCGCGCATGAGCACACAATGTGCTCAAAAATACAATATGCAGAAAATTCAATCAACGTGATATAAATATTAGCTCCAAAGTTTTATCTTTTGCTTTAGTTACGGTAGCGAAATGTCTAGGCATGGATACAGCCAAACTTTCGCAAATATCCTTTTGAATTTCGCGCTATGCTTTACCGATAGCTTTCTTTAACGATGTTAGGTTAGTAATCTTGGTTTTTATGTCTGGTTTTCGAATTCAACGATCAAGTTATTACCAAATATGGTTTATATGATTTAGGTCCAGTGATCATGGTGGATAGTCAAGCTGTTTCAGCACAACATGTCGTGCTGGAAGATCCAATCATTTCCGAAGACAACTACGTACAATATTCTCTATGATCTATAATATCTTCAATAAATGTGATATACGGAGAGATCAAGGCTAGACAGAAAAACGCAAAGACATAATTATAAAGGCACATATTATAGGAAAGATATTACTGTAATTGGAGTTTATTAAAGGAATAGATAGATTTTCTATTCAGACATTTTTTACAAGTTTAGGAAAATGTCTAAGTAGCTCGTCACTTTATCAAGTGTTGTTTTATAAACCTTAATTTATGAGGGCCCTTCATTTTCGCTTTTCTTATTTTTTCTATTATCACAAAAAAAACCAAGCCTAAGCTTCAAATTAGGTTCTCTTAAATTTGTTATTATTTTATACCTTCACAAATCAGAGTTCAGTACAAAGCCTATATCCAGCTGTTTTTAGTGTGGAAAAGAACAATAAGACATTTTTATCAATACATCTCTTTTACGTCATGGGTTTCAAGGTCGTCCAGCAGCATATAGCTGCATCTCCTTTTGTTTGGTTATTTCGAATATTCATACAGGGGTGTACTGTCTTAAAATTCTTTGTTCGTTTAAACTAGTTCTCAAAGAGAGCGGTACTGAATATAACAGTTTGGCTATTGTATTCTAAAATCATCTTGTATTATCTTAATTTTTAACCTCCAATATCCTAAACCAAGTAGCTGACATTGACGGATGGATTCACAACCTTATAGAGATGTATTTCTGCTCAAACTTTTGATAGGTTTTTATGATGGAGTACCACCAGTACCAAAGCTACTCATATTGTCCGTCCATGTGTATAGTGTCTTTTCTATCACAATGTGTTATAGATTTCCAATTGCAGTTCATATGTTTTCAAATTTCTCCATTTATGGTGCTTGTATTTGTTGCAAAGCTAGAGATTACCTTGGTGTTTACTATTTCACTCTCTGCAGTATCTCATATTTCCGTCTCCTAATATTTTCTAGCATTTATTTTTTTTAATATTTGTCTTTCTAGTCTATTTTGCCCTAATAAATAATTTTCTAAATTTGATACAACACTGTTATACTGAATTAGAATGATTAAATATTGTATCTTATTCTGAAAATAGTGAATGTGATTGGTTGTTTCTGAATGGTGTCTCTAATATTGATACTGCCTTTGAACTCTTCTATAAGAACATTTACAACCTCTAAGTCTTCAGCATTTATATCGTTCCTTTCAACTATCCTCCATGATTTACGCATGATTTTAAGTGTTTTTTTACCATTTGGATACCAAGGGTATTGAAAAATCATTTTTGAAAAATCCCGAACAATATAACCACGCTTTCTCTAAATAAGTACGAAAACACCCAAGCAGTGCGATAAGCGCTTTCCTTAAGTTGGTGACAGCACCCACATATATTGGGATTTTCGACACAAAATCTGGAGAGCGCGATGACGCTGCTTGGGACTTAAATGGTTAAAGACTAATAACACTACAGGTTAGACCAGAATAACACGAAATGTGATTGCTGTTACAAAGAATTTGGATACTTTTCAAATCAATGCTGAACGTTGCTCACCAAATGTATGTTGGAACAGCGTAGGAGTATATTAGGAGAACCTTAACGAAGTATGCCTGGTTTTTTCCTCGCCTTACAAATCCCTTACCTTAGTCATTGCTGTAATTACGTTTACTATAATGCCTTTTTTCAATGCTATCTAAACCTGTATGCTATCTTTGCAGTTGGCTTCTCATGTTTTGAGTTATGCTGATGATTTCAAAATATTAATATAAGTATACAGTAGAGTTTGGTACTGAACCTGAAAGGGAGAAATCTCTTTTGCTTATTCTGCTCTATAAGTTTCCTTCTCTTTATTGTTTCTTCCAATTTTTGTTTGTGGCGAGGAACTCAGAGTAGCCTGCTTTCCCTATTTTTTTTGCTCCATCAAAAATGATGATGGTTCTTCAGATGGTATTCTGTATGTTTTTAAGTTTTCGATCCAATAAAAGCATCCAGATATAGCAAGTACATCATATTTGTAGTTGGTATAGTGTTGTTTAGCACAAATCTAGGCGGACAAATCAGGAATCATGGCGTTGAAGAAGATTAACTCCCGAAAAATGTACCTATAGATAAATTTCTTACAATTAGTTCTGCTATCAAACTGAAAACGACCATTTGCCAATTCTCGACTTCTTCAACTTATCTGTATCAGAAAAATTCATCGTCAAAGACAATGTCACTGTCAAAACTATAATATTCAGTGATATTATATGTGTCTGTAGTTAGTGTTACCAACCATTAATTAGATTTTCAATAACATAAGCAAATAATGTTGACTTAATGGGGATTCCGGTCTAGAATCCCGATTTTTTAGGTATCTTTATTAATTTTTTACGCAAAATTATTATTATTATTTTATACCGGGATATTTTCTACATATTAGTATCTATAAGATGTGTTTTTATTTCATTATGTTTCAAAGTACGTCTCTTATAACACTAATATTACAACTACCTCATTTTTCATGGTAATCTTTTCATATCTAAATCTAATCATCTAGTGAGATTCTTAAAATACGCATCTGCAGCTATCGTCTGACCTACAACAAATAAAAAATGTAATATTATCTATAAAATCAATTGCCGTGACTGCGATTGCAGGTACATTGGCATGACCGGTCAAAGGTTGGACTCAAGAATTAAGCAACACAAACGTGATGCGATTAACAAAAAATCTTTAACTGCTTTATCTTTATCTGATTTTGACGACGTAACCATTCTGAAACCAGTTGATTCAGGAGACGGATCCTGGAAATGTGCTGTATTAAGACAGCAAATAACACCACCAACTTTGTGAACGACCTTGATAACCTTAGTCCTGCTTACACTGAAATACTTAAATTTTCCATGAATGTTAATGAAGAACATAATAATTAGGTTTTTAATTTGATCGTTTTTTCAAAATTTTTGGTTGTTTGTGTAAAGGAAGATAGGAAATGATATATTTTTTCTTAGTTTAAGAACGCGTTTTTCTCTTTGATAGGTTAGTTTAAGAGTTCTGACTGATAAGAAATGTTTTCCCGCTCTGTTTTTATATAGTACATAAACAAGTTTCTTATAACTCAACATTTTATTTTAAACTGTGCTTTCAACAACTTCGTTTTACATTTTTCCGATTTAAATAAGTTCTTTGGTTTTTCTTGTTCATATCGTAACTTTATCCGTTTTTTGATGTTCTTTGTCATTTTAAGAAAGTGTATCAAACAAAAATCGTTTTGGTACAATTATGTCATAAATTCGTAGATAAGCACACGGCTCTGATAAACTTTTGTTTTGTTAAGTTAGATGGTTCACTTGCTAATTGCTCCCTTATTGTTTTTTTAGCCTTGATAATGGACACGTGGATGTCCGAAAGCTCGACTTGTTAACGAATAAATTGACCTGATGAAACAAATATCGACTTAGCTTACTTAGTTACCAAAATGTCGTTTCGAGAAAATCGCGATTGAAGTTCTTTTAACTATTATGTTGTGGAAACTTTTTAAATACAAATACTTACAGTTAATTTGCTATTCCAGGACCAGAAAGGGGTCTTTCTTACAGGTCGTACATATCATACAAGATTACTCTTTTGTCTCTGTGATGCGTTTTTTGGGTTTCTTACGAAATTGGGCGAACGTATTCTTGCGTGGCTAATGCAGATCTCATCGCAGCCGTGCTTTTACAATTCTGCTTGTTGGCTAATTTTTAATCTCGTCACATCTTTAATCTTAAAAATTAGTAAAAATTCATTATTAATGTTTCAGAGTAAAAGTTATTATAATTACAAATAATATCTAATATATAGTAGTTCCTAAAAATGCTCTGAATTGAGAAGCGAAACCGGTAAAATAAAACAATTGTTATCAATAAATGCAAGTTGTTTTGAGTGTTATTTTTAAATATTTTATCCAGTGTTGAAGTTCTGCTAAAATAAACTTAAACTCCTGTATATTAATCTATCTACTGCATGATTCGTTGCAGACTTTATTTATGCACCGCATTCTGCTACTCAGAATGTCTATTATTACATTCTCTTTGGCCACATCACTGAATATTCTACAGCATGCGTAAGCTTACATGGTATATTTGTATACGTTTCAATCAAATTTAACATTAAAATTGGGTTTAAATGACTTAACTACAATAGTTTATTTAATTTAACGTGTTTTTATTGATAAATTGTTTGAAAAACATCATTATTACAAAGTAATCCATTCAAATGTACGATAGCTGATAGTTATGAACGTGAGTTACATAGTGTAAGCCCTTCAGTTGATCAACTAGAAATGCCCATAAACATTGATAACGTTGATAAATATCCCCTTCTTAAAACTGGATAAAAATGTTTCATTTTAGACTCTAGTACGCCTTTAAAAATTGTGTAATCTACTATCAAAATCCAAATAAACGCTTTGTTTATTTACTTATCGATTTGAAGGAAATGATATTAATATTTCGGGAGACCTTGGTGACAAAAACAAATATTTTCTGTTTAACAACAAAATCGATATGTGTTAATAATTTTTTTTTAATTTTCAGAGGAAGATGAACCACAAATTTACGTAAAATTTTTCAAATTTCACAAATGTTACGATTTAATACCAACGTCGGCAAAACTAGTAGTTTTTGATACTCAACTATTGGTAAAAAAGGCGTTTTTCGCGTTGGTTTACAATGGAGTAAGGGCAGCACCTCTTTGGGATAGTAAACGGCAAGAATTTGTCGGTATGTTAACCATAACAGATTTCATCAAGATCCTTCGGATGTACTACAAAAGTCCCACCGTTGAAATTGACGAATTGGAGGAGCACAAATTAGACACCTGGCGTCAAGTTTTAAAAGACTTGAAACCATTGACCAGCATCTGTCCGGATGCTTCACTTTATGATGCCATACGAACGTTAATTCATAACAGAATCCATAGGTTACCTGTTATAGATCCGGAAACGGGGAATGTTTTGTATATTTTAACACACAAGAGGATATTAAGGTTCCTATTCTTATACGTAAGTAATAATAATTGATATTTTAGTAAAACGGTACCAATTAATTTTTTATTTATTTTTTAGATAAATGAATTACCTAAGCCGAGTTATATGAATAAAACGCTTAGAGAATTAAAAATAGGAACTTACGATGATATAGAAACGGCAACGGAAGATATGCCTATCATAACAGCTTTGAAAAAGTTCGTTGAAAGGCGAGTTTCCGCATTACCTATAATCGATCCCGAGGGAAGATTAGTTGATATTTACGCAAAATTCGATGTAATCGTAAGTATTTTTACCCGTTAAAAATATCAAATATTGTAAACATGGCAATTAATATTTTTATTTTAAGAATTTGGCTGCGGAAAAGACGTACAATGACTTGGATGTGACGCTTAAAAAGGCCAACGAACACCGAAACGAATGGTTTGAGGGCGTTCATAAGTGTAAATTGGATGAAACGTTATTTACGATTATGGAAAAAATCGTTAGGGCAGAGGTATTATTAATTTAATATTATTCATTTAATATACTTAAATCTTATAAATAATATTTTTAGGTACACAGACTTGTTGTGGTAGATGAGGAAGAAAAAGTAATTGGTATCATCTCTCTTTCTGATTTACTCCTCTATTTAGTTCTTAGACCATGTGGTGAAGATGGTTCTATGGATGGAATGACGTCAGTTCGTGCTCAAGTAAGTGGTAATCTTAAATTATAAAATAAGTCAATTGGACATAATTATATGCCAAGTTGCTTCGTTTAGCCGCTATTACACTTTAAAGTTCAACAAAAAATTACTTTTAAATAAATTTTTCAAAATGTCACATTGTTGATCATTTCCAAAGGGAAATGATGTCATTATTTTCTATGCAGGTGTTTATATTGGAGCGACGCGTTGAGACACGCGTCGCTATATACTAATGCATAGAAATGAATTTTGCGCTGCTCTCATTATTTATCGCAGCTCCAACATAAATGTACTGTTATAATGACCAATATTGGAAATAAAAAACGTGCTATATTTAACGCCCAATATGAGTTTCAAAAGCACTCTCTCTTTCGAAGACAATATGTTGAATGCGGATTTATACGAATTAATAAAAGTTTTTGTTTTTAAATTATTTTATGATCGACATTATGACGTTTTAAGACTTGTCCATATTATACAATTTTAAATCTTATTGAATTGTATGGTCAGCCATGAAACACTATTTGGCAGATAACACGAATACGGATATTGATTTGAAAACCATTGAGAGTCTCCAGGTGCGAAGCCCAGGTGCAAATATATACGGAAGGGCGAAGAATTTAATACGGAGAAAGAATCGAATTCACTCTTTAAATTCTTATTGACATTGAAGGTCGAGAAAGAAAGTAGATCAAATAAAAAATCGAAAAAAGCACATGTTGACAACACCGCGTTTCACACGATTAACAAAGGCTTTCAACTACAAAGAGTTTAGCCTACACTTTTCAGATAATAATAATAATGAGAATATTTATTGATGTACCTTAAAATAACAAAGCTACAGTAAATAGAAATGAAACGCAGTACACATATAGGTAATCAAAACGGGTTGAGTCAATGTACCTGTAAACAGGCGTATTGTTTTTCATCAACCCCTGGAACAACCAAGAAAAAAGAAAAGAAAATAACAATAACAAAAGTTAATCACAATGAATATATATATATAAGAATGTATTCATCGTAAATACCTAACATAAAACTAAATAAAGTTAAATCATATTAAAGCAGCAAAAACTATAAATAATTTTTATATCAAAAAAAAATATATATACAGGCTGTCTCACGTAACTGGTTCGTTAGAACTTTTTGGTTCCAGTATTCGTACAGTTTTGAAATTTTGGTAGTATGGGTTGTTCAGTCGGAAGTTTCGATCTAAAATATTTTCAAGATGGCAGTAGACCATAAATTCGTTATTTTAAATGGAATGCTATAGTTTTTATTATACCTTTTAATTGTACGTAAAAAAATATGTTGACTTTCATAAAAGTTATTGGTACCTAGCGTTTTTCGTTTTCGATTTATTTTGATTTTAAGATTTTTTTGGCAAATTTCACCATGCTCTTTAAAAACCTATATCCCAGCCAACGTTCTTTCAAAAAAGCTCTGAATTGGCACGATTACTCTTCAGATGCTGTCAAATAGATTGTCATATATTGTATCAGAATATCTTATACAGGTGGTCAAAAATTGAATTACCGTTTCTCCATATTCAATGGGGAGAAAGTCGAAAATTTTAAATGGAACACCCCATTGTTTATTAGCCTACACGAAAGGGAATTTAATTCTCTACAATTTATCTATAAACATTCCTATACCTATTTATTGTAGTTTCTCTCATATTCGTAAATTTATCAAAACATGCAGGAAATGCAGGAAATCGTTTGTATTTTTATTAGAAGGCCATGACATTTTGACAGTTTTTTGTTTAATTTATTTATATTATTATTTGTACTATTAACTACGATTGATAATCTTTTAGTTTACTAGCTTTTACTTACCAAAAATAGCAAGCAGAAGATCAAATAAATTAAATTATTAAAACAAAAAGTTAATGATAAAAATTAGATTTCAATAAAAATATAAATGTGTTATAAAATTGAATTTGGAAATGCAATAAAACAGGGTAAAATATTTATTTCGTTGTCTTATCACTGGTGACCGGAAATATGCGATTTCTTTTGGTCTCGATATATCCAGAACTAAGAAATTCTTTATCAATTTCTTCAAATTTTTCCTTGTGATGGGCGTTAGGTTTGTTAGGCATCTCTCATTAAGTGTTCGACACATCCTGTCCAAAAGTTTATTACATTCGCCATCAATACAAAATAAATTTCAAATATCGGCGTTGGAATACCATGATTTTTTTACCATGATGTTCAATGACTTACACCCGTCGTCAAATGTAACTAATGACAACAATAATACAAACATGGACCAAAAACTGTCAAAAATCCATAGCTTTCTAATAAAAAACCTGGATTTCGTGCATGTTTTAATAAATTTCGCAATATGAGGCAAACTACAATAAATAGGTATGAGAATGTTTATAGATAATTTGTAGAGAATTAAATTCTCTTCCTGATAGGCTAAAAAAATATGGGGCGTTCCATTTAAAATTTTCAGCTTTCTCGCCATTGAATATGGAGAAACAACAATTCAATTTTTGACCAGCCTGTATAAGATACTCTGATACAACAAATGACAATCTATTTGACAACATCTGAAGAGTAATCGTGCCAACGTAGATCTTTTTTGAATGAACGTTGGCTGAGATATGAAGTTTTAAAGAGCATATTGAAATTTACCAAAAAAAGCTTAAAACCAAAATAACTCGAAAACGAAAAACGCTAGGTACCAATAACTTTTATCAAAGTTAACCTATTACGGTGTAATAAAAACTATAGCATTCCATTTAAAATAGCGAAGTTATGGTCTACTTCCGGTAGACCAAAAGTGGCGGCCATCTTGAAAATATTTTAGATCGAAAGTTCCGAATGAACAACCCGTGCTACCAAAATTTCAAATCTCTACGAATAGTGGAACCTGAAAAAGTTCTAACGAACCAGTTACGTGAGACACCTGTATATACAGTGTCCGCGAAAAAGTCAGCAACACCCGTTTTATTTCTGTTCCATTGCATCTACATTTCTGAAATTTAGTTTATGTGGAAGGTTCATACCAACCTTTCGATCTAAAGAATTTTCAAGATGCCACTTCCGGTACTCCGGAAGTAGACCACAACTTCGTTATTTTAAATGGAATGCTATAGTTTTTATTGCACCTTTTAATCATATGCGCAAAAATAAGTTGACTTTGATAAAAGTTATTGGTACCTAACGCTTTTCGTTTTCGAGTTATTTTGATTTTAAATTTTTCTTGGAAATTTTCACCATGCTCTTTAAAACTCCATATCTCAGCAAACCTTCATTCAAAACAGCTCTAAATTGGCACGATTACACGTCAAATGCTGTAAAATAGATTGTCATTTGCTGTATCACAGTATCTTGTATATCTTGTTGTGAATTACATTTTTTCCGCATTCAATGACAAGAAAGTGAACAGTTTTAAATGGTAAGCCCCAAATTTGATTAGCTCACCAGAAAGGGAATTTGCCGGGAAATGCCAGAAACCGGTTATATTTTTATTAAGACATCATATTTTGACAGTTTTTCGTTTAATTTATTTTTACGATTAACTTTGATTGGTAATCTTTTAGTTCACTATCTTTTATTTACCAAAAATAACAAATAGAAGAACAAATAAATTAATCAATGAAAACAAAAATTAGGTTTGGATAAAAAATTTAATTCTCTCACTGGTAGGTTAACAAAATATGGGGCGTACCATATAAAATTTTCAGCTTTCTTGCCAGTGAATATGGAGAAACGACAATTCAATTTTTGACCAGCCTGTATAAGATACTCTGATACAACAAATGACAATCTATTCGATATTATCTGAAGAGTAATCTTACCAACTTAGAGCTTTCTTGAATAAATATTGGCTGAGATATGGGGTTTTAAAAGCATGGTGAAATTTACCAAACAAAAACTTAAAATCAAAATAACTCGAAAAATGCTAGTTAATGTTATCATTTAAAATAACGAAGTTGAGGTCTACTTCCGGAGGACCGGAAGTGACCACCATCTTGAAAATACTTTAGATCGAAAGATCGGTATGAACCTCGCATATAAGCTAAATGTCAGAAACGTTGATGCAATGACCAGAAATAAAACAGGTGTTACTTTTTTGCGGACACTGTATATATACCAAATAATATTTAATTCCAAAGAGGTAAATAACAAGATTAAACTATAAAGGAAAATCAAAAGGCATACTAATCAGTCAGTCGCTGAAGCAAGTACATCTTAAAAGCCGTCTTAAAGCCATGCTCACTTCGCTTTAAAATGCTGAATGGGAAGCTATTATAAACATTACAAATAACATAAGAAAATGAACGTTTAAATAGTTGCGTACGGTATCTGGGAATGGAAAGCCTAAAACGATGTCTAACATTAATGTTATTAACATCACAACGGTAACGAATTTGAGCTTCAAATAAGGAGGGATTCCAGATAAAATTAATCTATGAAAAAAGCACGCAGAATGTAATGTTCTACGTTGTGACATATTCAACCAGTTAGCCCAAAAGAAGCGTATGTGGATTCCTGTCTCTTTTTCTTATTCAATATATAAATCTCAGACAAGCGTTTTGCAGATGTTGTATTTGAAGGGTAGTAGTCACATCAAGACACGAATCATAAATTACGTCGCAGTAGTTGAATAAGGACAATACAATTGAATCACAAAGTTGAATTCTTAAACGTTGATTCAACAAGTTGCGATTACCGTAAAGTAGTCGCAGCGCAGCATAAGCTCGCCTAAATAAATTAGCTACATGTGCACGAAATCGAAGTGATGAATGAACTCTTTGCCTTATCGCTGAACTGTAAGTTAACCCCACAAACACTGATGTCAAGGGACTCTCGAACACGGGCAACAGCACTCTGATTCCCAAAAACCAGAATGGATGACTTATTCGGATTAATATTTAGGCACAGTTTGGAAGCACGATGAATCAATTTGTCTAAATCACAATTAACATAATTTTGAGCAGTATGCACTTGAGTAGGATCAAAGGAAAAATGAATCTGAGTGTCATCAGC